ACTCTTGGTTCTCCAGCCCAATGCATTCCTAACCTCTCGTCCACGCCCCTTTATTTAAAACCCGCAGTCGGTTCGCTCCTGTTCTTAATTGTCCGCGGTTACTTAGTCCCGGGATCCCACGGTAGCCCGCTCCTTCTTGTGCGAGCTGGCGTGTGTTTTGATCAACGCGTGTTTGCCACGCCTCCTTTTAATGGGAGCTTTTCCTTCGGTCTTGTCAGTTTTTGGCACCGGGAACAGCGCAGAGCAAGGCAACACCCGCTTCTTGCTTCGTCTCTGCAGGGCCCTTGCCGTCCCGCCCTCCTCCCTCGCTCCTGGGTCCCGCTTCAGCCCTTTCCCCACAGCCAGCCAAACCGCCCCCTTCTGCCTTCTAGCTGCGCCTGCCCCGCCCCTTTTTTGCACATGACACGCCCACTCAGCGCAGAGGGGCTCTGCCCCGGGAGGAAAAGTGCCACTCCCCCTCTTCTTGCGGCCATGTCACGTAGACCCCGCCTCTCAGTCCAGATTCTGCAGTTTAGTCTTGCCGGTCAAACTTCAAGGCGCTTCCCGGCTCTGCACAAGTGGGGCGTCCTGGAACATAAGATTCGGGATGCTTGCTTGGTCTTTCTCGTTGTGATTGCTCTAGGGCTTTGAGTCCCGCTCAGGTCTTGAGCAGCTCGCAACACCTTGGCTCTCTCCGCCTGCCAAGGGCGTCGGGCATCTTTGGAAAACTAGTAAGATGAGAAGACCCTCCAGTAGTTGAGAAGGCCAAAACAGTGGAGCTAGCACAAGGCAACTTTATGTTTTGTTTTGTAGGTCTCTGCAGCTGTCTCCCTTCGCTGCCGTTTTTCTTTCTCACAGACTCCTAACATAAATATACTTGTGCAGCTGTTAGCTTTTGCATAGCTACGCAAGGTTTCAGCTTCTGGGCAGCGCTTTTCTGGGCATTTGTCATGCACCCTCTCTTCCATTACGCTGTGCAGGTTTGAATGTGTTCACTCAGAAGTAAATCTCACTGAGATTGCAGCTCAGGGCTCACTGCTACTAATGGTGTGGGGTTTTAATGTGCAGTTAAAATGCTCCTGTAAGCAATCAGATAAATGGCTCTTTGCGAGCCAGCCTTCTGGTTCTCCAGACCTGTGTCCCTGTACCTTTGTTTTAGGAGAGATTTAGGTATTCGGCTGAGGAAATTTTAGGAGGACTTTTTAGGCGAATGGGCCTTAGTTTGGTGAATTGTAGAACTAAAAGGTCATGTTCTGAGTGTTCCCTGCCTAGCAGTGAATCATCTTGGAGCTCTGCTGTCGAAAGCGGGGAGGACTTCAACATTTTTCATAACTTACATTGGTCAGTGAAAGGCCTAGTGTCTGCGTTTGCACAACATACGAGGTGAGCTTGGTGGCTTTGCATGTTGTGTGAATCTAGCCTGCTTGGTTACTTTATGGCTCAGAGCATTGTGCAAATCCTCCAGAAATGTTTAATACAGCAACCTGGGTAAGGATGTTTTGTGAACACAGCCAGGGTGTTGCATTTCAGCAGATGCTGCTTTCCCTGAATCTCGCTTATTGCTGGGTGGAAGAGGGAGAGAGAGAGAACAGCACCTCTTAATGGGGAATCTTTGGCATGAGCAAGCTTGTCTGGGCCCTGTTCTGGCCATGAAATAGAACAGGGTGGGGTGGGAAGGGGAGCGTGCCCAAATGTAGGGAGCAGCATGCCTCTTCCCCACTTCGTTACCACACAGGCTTTCACTCCTGGTACTTGTGGTGGTTTTTCCCCCATCTGTGCCACACCCCTTCTTTATGCTGCCTCCTTGTAACTTGGAGCGTATCTCAGATCTGCTTGGGAGCCGTGGCCTTCTCCAAGTCACACCACTTAACTCACAATATGCCAATATTCCTGGCTGTGCAATCTGGGGGTCGTGAACCCTCTCTGGCATGTTGTAGAAAGCTGGTCCTCTGAGTTAACTAACACCTGTTCGATGGCTGGTGATATGCCTGGCTACCTTTCCCTGTGCAGTGGGGTGGTGACTCCTGGGCTGCTGCCATTTCTCCCTGGTCTCTGTTGGTGTCCATGTTGCTGTCTAAGCTTGTGATTAGCCAGTGATCAGAGAAGTTACTGCCTCTTAGGAGGCCAGGCAGAAGCCCCTTTCCAAAAAATGGCTTGCTGCTTCTTTTTCTTCCGAGTCACCAGGATTACCCTACTCATGTTATGTGGTGGAATTAACAAATTATTTATGGACTCAGAAACTTTTGCAGACAGGAAAAGGTTTTCTGCATGTTTCAAATGGTGATAGAATCTGCTTTTCCCAGATATTCAGAGGTTTACTTAAAGAGGTTGGGGGAACCCACTCTGAACACTTATTTTTTTGGGGGGGTGCCTTTGAGTCAGTCTTGACTCCTGGCGTCTGCCTGGACAAGATTTCAGAAGCGGTTTGCCTTTGCTTGCTTCTTAGCGCTGAAAAAGTGACTGGCCAAAGTCACCCAGCTGGCTTTGGGCTTAAGGCAGGACTGGAACTCATGGTCTCCCAGTTTCTAGTCTGATGCCTTAACCACTACCCCAAACTGGCTCCCCACTTTGAACATTGGGTGATATAATGTGCTGATGGAAGAATATTCTTGAAAGCAAAACCCCTCACTTTTAGGCAGACCCTGCAAAGCTATACCAAAATGTGGAGGGCCCTTCTGAGATGGGTAGGTTGTGGCACAAGCAAATGTAAAGCCACCTTTGACTCTTGGTGACTGCTTGTCCTTTCTTTGGCAACCTTATGGTAGTGCTCTGCTACTGCCTACTTTTGTGATATTTTTTCCACTTCCCTGTCTAGCCTTAGCCTTGGGATTTCCTGGTGGCCTCCCATCCAGGCACCAAGGAGGTCTGATCCTGTTTAGCTTTTCTGCAGGCAGCCAGTGTTGGCTTGATACTGCCACCTACTGCTGAGGCAGAACGCTCTTTCAACCAGAGACACCTTCTCCTTGGGGAATCTTCTCTCCTATTCAGTCTGTCCACTTCCAACCTCATGGCTGACCTTTTCCAGAAAAATCCCTCAGACCCTCTTTGTAGCCTGTATAAGGAGTTTTGGGGGGAAAGAATAGTGTGCTGTAATTTGCTTTCAGGAACAACTCCTGCTGGTGTGATGTTCAGCCTGTCAAAAAGAAGGCTAACTTTCTCTTTGATCTCTTAGTCATCAGTATACAAGGAGATCCTTTTCCATGGCAGGGAATTTAAACGTGCTACAGCTCAGAGAGAGTTGCAAGAACAGTTTCTGTTGTACCTACGGTTCTTGCTTATGTAGCTACTGTGCTTCTCCTAATGGTGTTTTGATTTTGGTATCTGGCATTGAATCTGAGAGACAAGGGTGTAGTTTGGCAGTCGTTGTTATCGTTGTTGTTGTTATTGTTGAGAGCTGCATTCCTTTGGCGGTGATCTGCAAGAAATTATGCGGCGATGGGGACTGGGGCTTAAGCAAGCAATGGGCAGGGGCAGGGCCAGGAGTAGATTGAGCCACCATCTTCTTTTCAACAGCCTCCTTTTTTCCTCCCTTTGACATCAGAGTCTCTCCCTCCTTCTCTCCTTCTTTCTCCTTTGCCAGGCAACAGAACTGGACGGGCTGCTCTTGCCAAAGGTCTGACCTGCATGCTTGTAATGGGCTTTGAGATTTCCATGTGGTCCTAGTGCAGCAAGGCGCCCATACCTGGACTAGGGAGATGCTGCCCATTACATTTCTCTGTGGGTCTGATGGGAAACAGCACCCACTTTCTGCTAATTGACCTTCCTCTGGCTGGCCTGGGAGATTTTGGTGATTCCTTTTTTAAGGGGACCAGCAGAGTCCATGCAGAGGGTGTTTCTAACTCCTTCCTGGCCCCAAGACCGCCTTGCAGGTTCTTGATGTTTATGATAAGATCTGTCCTTTGCATTAATGAAGTACTAGCTGTGTGTGTGTGTGTGTGTGTGCGCATGCGCAGATCTGCATTCATTTGAGAGAACCGCAGACTAGTAGACTTGCTGTTGGAACTTGCTGACTGGGTTCACACCACACTTTCATGATACTGTAGATTGTGGTTCACTGTATTGTGGGAAGCCAGCTGTTAGTTTAAGCACATTGTATGAGCGTCGCAATCCCATTGTAATATTTGTTTGGACTATTTTTTCTTAACCTTGGTATAGCATATTGTGTGAACCCCATGCTTATCAGATCTGGGCTCTGAAAATCTGGGCAAGATGGCAGCGAAAAGATACAGGAAAGTGCCACCCTTTGCTGTTAACTAGTGGTTGTCTGGATTTCTGCATCCCAGATGTGGTAACCCTAGTGAACCCAGCCTCTGTGTTTTGTTCAAAGTTTTCTTTGCACCGGGATGTGATGGGGAAATATAGAAAGGGATATAGAAAGCTGTCCTAAATCTGATCAAGGTGAATCTGTTTTAGCTTTGTCTGTATTGTGCAGTGAGGCTTTATGGTTTCAGACTGCTCTTTCCCAGCCTGAACTGGAGATGCTGGGCTGGGAATCCAGTGCTTCTGTGCAAAAAGGATCAGCTCTACCACTGAGTTCCCTGCAGGTTTTACCAGTTTGCGGTTGAAGCAGGTTGCGTGCAGTGCTGATTGGGTTCAGTGTGACATTGCAAACTTTTCTTCTCTTGGAATAATTTTGAAGTCAAGTTCACTCTGCAAGGGGGGGCGGGGATCTCCCTTGTAGCCTGCGGGGTGGAGCTTCTGCTAAACCGTTCTATAAATGTGCCTGAACACTGACAGATAAATTGTTGCTGGGGGGGGTTTATAAGTGTGAGGAATAACGCCGCCAGTGCCTTCACAAGGAGAGTAGGTACACCTTTCCTCTTTCTCTTCCGAGATTGCACCTTCTCCGGCTCTCCATTACAGACTCCTCCCTGCCTCCAGGCAAGACTGCCACTCCTCCTCTTTAACAGACTTCTCCCTGCCTCCTTGCAGGAATATGCTGAGGATATAGTATCTGATTTAAGTTTGCAGGCTTCCGGCTTTCCTTCTAAGAAAGCTCCTAAACCCTGCTTTTTTTCCTCTTGGAGAGTCTCACTGTTAACCCTTTTGTGCTGCCTGCTTCTCTCCAGTGCCAGGCTGAGGCAGAGGGGGAATGCTGTGGCCCTTTAAAGCCAGAGGGAATGACTTCGGAGTTGGGAGAGTTAAGCTTCTGTCAATCCTTATCCTAATGGTATGTTGAACTGTGTCTGTAATCTCTACAAATATACCTAGGAGGCTGAGGTGGCAGGAAGTCCTAGTGAATATATGGGGGGGGGTGTTTTATTTCTAGATAAATCTGCATAGGATGGTCTTGCAACTTTGCTGCACAAGTTTGCTTCAGAGGCTGCCCCATTGCTGCTCAGCCTGTAAAAATACAGCTTCTGCATCACCCCCCCCCCCATTTTCCATTAATCTCAGCTAAGGATTTACCGGGTGGTTGCCGTCAGCCTCATCCCCCCCCCCCACATTTCTACCATGTAGGTTTCATAATTCTGACCTACCTTACAGGATTGTATATATCTGATCTACTTTTAACATTCAATTGCTCCTCTTGTTGATGTGCAAACAGTAGATGTAACTGCTTTATGTTAAAGCAAGCTAAAACCATTCTCTTTCAAGACCAGATAGGGATACTCGACCTGGAACCTCAGGTAATCCTGAGAGTTTTGGGTAATGTAACCAAAGGGGAAATTATGAAATATATGGGGAATAATCACTTTAAATAAAATGCACTTAATTTGAAATGCAAATCAAATTAAATCAACATTAATGTTTGTCTTAGACCTATCTTAATTTTGGAGTGCTATTTCTCTTACGTCACTCAAAGGTAAAATATGGCCCTTGGCCTAAACAAAGGTTGCATTCCTCCCTTCTAGATCTTTTATTATGACTGATGCATATAGTTGTAATGTTTTAGATTGTAGTTGCATATATCTTCCTTCAAGGCTTTTCATCCTTATACTGTAATGCCATAATGCAGAGATAGGTCAGGTTTGGGTTGGCTGAGGGGATAGTTTTGGTGGTGGGTAGGTATGCAAAGTGGGTGGAGCTGTGCCACACAGGGTGGGCTAGCATTTTCTGTGTTTTTTTCTGTGGGGGTTTTTTTTTTTTTTTTTGGTTTTGGTTTTTTTGTGACACTCACTTTAAGTTTATGCTAATGCCTCAACGTGTTTCCTTCCTCAAGGTTAGCAGATTACAGAAAGATTTCTTGGCTGAAAGTAAGGGCTTCTGAGGTTGTACACAACTTAGAATGACCACCATTGCCAAAACAGAAAATGGGGGTAAACTAATATATATTGACATAAGCTCTTTAAATACTTAAATATAGATCTTTGGTTTTCAAAACAGCCCCTGTTTCTTTAGGCCAGTGTTTCTCAACATTGCAAATTTAAAGATGTGTGGACTTCAACTTCCAGAATTCCCCAGTCAGTTGAAGTCCACACATCTTAAAGTTGTCAAGGTTGAGAAACAGTGCTTTAGGCAGTCATCCAGGAATGCATCCATTGGATAAGGTGATTTAAAAACAGTCAAGAAAGCGTATGTTTTACAACTCCTGGAAAGCTCTTAAGTGACAGGATGGATTTTATATTTCTAGATGAATTATGTAGAGGTTGCAGTTTGGGATTTTAATTTTGGAAGAGCTATTAGATTAAAAATGTGACCCAATGAAAGTTTACTCAAAAATAAGTTTCATATTTTTAGGTAATCTGTACTGTTAAGGGATGCTCCCCATATGTTTTAGATTTCAGCTCCCATTGCTAGCTAATACAATTTTGTAGAGGATTGTGGGAATGGTAAATTGGTGTCTGTGATTTAGGTTCTGTTGAAGTTTGCCTTACTTGGTTTCCTAAGGATTGGGTGGCAACTATCCTACCGTGGGGTGCAACCCTGCTGTGACTCTGTGGGGAGCAGGGTGGGTTGAGGCCTTTCCTGTGTACAATACACAACATGGCGTACCTTATTGCACCTACCCATCCAGTGATCCAGGTCTTACAGGTATGCTTGCCAGAAGCAATATGTTGCGTGCTGAGAGTGTTAAGTCTGGAAGTGAATAATGGAATGGGGACTAGGAAGAAAGCTTAGCCAAGCCCCCTTTTTCATTCCTGCTCCCCATTTCTTTCATTTACCATTCACGGAAGCCTATCCAAGTACCAGAACAAAGAGGTGAACATGACGACAACTCCTCAAATATCAGGAGGGCTTTTTAGAAACCTTTTGCAACCCTCCCCATGCATGTAAATAAGTGGTATATGCAAGAGAGAGAAGTTCTAACCTGTTTTCCCAATTCTCTTTTTGAAGTGGATGAGGATAAATAAATACTATTCCAAACCATATTGTTAAATCACAAGGATATGAAGCTCAGTTAAAGGGTAACAGTATTATAATATGATATAAGTAGCTTCCTAAAGCTGTAGTTGCTGTAACTGCTTCTAAAGCATTCAAACCTGTGATTCCACCCAACAGTCCTTACTTGTCAGAGCAATGCTGTAATGAAAGCAATACAGCTACTGGGCAGAATTGAAGCAACCCCATTGCACAGATGAAACCAAGGAATAGAACTTGCTCAGAACCAACAGATAACTTTCAGCTGATTAGAGTAATTTGCATCCTGCCTTTTTACTGAGTGACCATCCTGCATTTTGCCCCCGTGAAGGCCAGCTTGCTTTCTGAACTGGAGAAACCAGTACTCCGTATCCAGATTGTCTGTAAAGCCTTATCCTCCCTAAATTGGCCCCCTCCAGATGTGTTCCAGCCAGCTGGTTATAAATTATTGGAGTTTTAATCCCAGTGTACCTGGAGGGTCCAATTTGGGGAAGGCAGTTCTAGTCCAAGTGCAAAAGGGAGTTAGGTGAGATGGTCTGAATGAAGCCAGTAAATACAAATTGAAACATGGAGGACAAATTCCAGCTAAGCTCTGAATGGAGCAGGTGGCTTACTGGGTACAGAACCTGATGCCCCAGAGCCACAAGCAACCCCCAAAGCGTTAGGTACCTCTTTTAGAGCCTGCCAAACTATAATTGTTAATGGACCAGAAGAGGAAACTTCTAAAAAATGGGCTTCTGTCATTTATCTTTGCTCGCACGATTTCTGTACTGTACCATTTTTGTTTCATTTGTAAGCTGTCTTGGGGCAGTGACCTGGTGGTTGCAACTTGGATTTTTCTCCAGTTATTAATATCTAAAGTATAATGTAACATGCCAGTATTGACAGGAATAATTCTTGGAATTTCAGTTTGGCAAGGTGCTGTCAGAGGGGAAGAATTTAAAAGAAGGCAGGCTGTGTGGCTGAAGGTCTACCTTCTGCCTTGCTGCCCGCATACTCCTTTTTGTCTCCTCTTTCTTGACTTGGTTAATTTCTTAATTTCCTAAACAAATGCTGTAGTTCAGGCCAGCTTGGAAATTGCACATTGAAAGCAAACTAAACTGACTTCACTCCTTTAAGCTCAGCTATATAGGGAATCATTGTGATTGTCCTCTGGGCCAAGAGCTGGGCATTTCACGCATGTCCGGAAGTCAGTGCTTCATTGTAATTTCCAGTAGTGAGCTCTGGGTTCAGGTGAATTCCAGGCTTCCACACAGCCTTTTTTTCCAGGCTAAGGCCCCATATTTTGCCTTTAAGTAGGTTGAGTTCAGAAAGAAGTGGGAGGGGCCAGAATAAAACTGAGTTTGATTTCCTTTGCATTTCCTTACAATTAAATCTGGTTAAAAGGAAGACTCTTCAGCTAGGTACTTCATAGTTTCCATCTTCTGTCACGTTAATTAGATCACACCAGATCTCTGGGATCCTTGCCCAGAGCTTTAGGGGCCACATACAGTCCTGGAATCTCATGTTTGGTCTTCTGCTATGGACTATGCATGCCCAATAGTGGGTTGTACTGTAAGCATTTCTTTTTCAACAGGCTGAATTATGAGTGCAACTTTCTGTTTACACAGCAGTGGCTTGCTGAGTTCTGAAAAAGTCATTCCTGAGCTTCAGGGCTAGAGCTTCCTGTCAGTACTGTCCCATGGGACATGTGTGGGTATTGGTTTTGCTTGTCTACTATATTCCTAAACTGGCTTTTGACACAAAGCACCCCCTAATTAATGCAAAACACAGGACTCTCCCTCCCTCCCCCCCTTCATTGCAAAAACTCAGTGCTGCATCTCTTCCCTTCCTTTCTCCTCACTGCTTAAATTGCAGGAAAAACTGTTTTGACTGAAAATACACTTCTGGCTTGAACCCATGTGTGGATGCAGTTAGGGAGCAGGACTTCCTTGGGGCAAGATGTCTGTTTCTAGGTGGGCTTGATTCCGGGCAAAATAGTTTCAGAACTCCGACATGTGGAGGACTCTTATTTGATTATACCATGATAGGGTTGTGGGCTTTTCCAAAGCAAACTGCAGAGGCATTGAAGAAGCCTCTCCTGAGTGTCATGAAAGGTGTGCAACTTACTGTGAAGTCCTCCCACATTCATTTGGGCTAGCTTAAGCGAATGTCTGGATAAACTGGCTTGTATGTTCGTTTGCAGGATAGAACTACATACTGCAGGAATGTTTGCCCATTTTTTCTTGGTCCCTCAGATACTGTGGGCTTGCTGTATTTCCTCAGAGCTTCTGCTGCCTGTAGTTGGCATCCAGGAACCATAAAGTAAAAATGTATGTATGGAGTTATGTGTGTGTGTGATTTTCTTTATAAAAGCTCTGCTTCCTTAGGATGGCCTGATGGTTGTGCTTGGGAAGTCTGATGCCAAACTGGCAAACTGTGGTCTCCAAGCCCTTTACTGTGGCTCTCAGCACCTGCTGTGCCTGCTGTTTCTGAACATCAGAGACATGGTTTCCTTCATCAGAGACTGATGAAGGAAATGCAAGAAGATTGGAGTTTACATTCTAACTAGGCTTTCCATGAATGCCCCCAATATCCCCCAAATCCAAAGAAAAATCCAAATATCCTGGCCTCACCAAATATATTACATGATCCTGCCTACTTTGCAGTATTGTCCTGCCAACCTGAGACCTCTGTACCTCCCCCCCTTTTTAAGTGTGACCCTTGACTACCCCTGGGAGAGAGGTGCCGGAGGCTCCGTTTGCAGGCCGCACTGTCAACTGCCCATCTTCCAAGAATTAACGTCCTTGCCTTCTTTATTGTTTGCAGTGTGTCCGCGATGGCGAGTGTGCTGTCCAGGAGGCTGGGGAAGCGGTCCCTGTTGGGTGCCCGCATTTCTGCGCCCCCTTTGCTGGGGGATGGGATGCTTATGACAACTCACGGTCATCCCCTGCAGCCGGAACACAGCAAAGCATCTCCTCACCTTGGTTCATATGAGGATGGCCACTTCAAGGAACACGTTGAAGACTCTGGCAGTCAGAACCAAAATTGGCCAGTGCTGCGACCTGGCCAAAAGGTATTGAATTTTATGGTGATGACTCTAAACTGCCCTTCATCCAAAAGAGATGCCAGGGCGGTCACTGACAAACACTATGCAGTATGAAGAAGCCACACAGGTTTATTCAGTCAGCAAGCAAGAAAATAAATTTCTTTTTTTAAAAAGTAAAATGCCTAAGCAAACTGAAAAAAATTGGGTTGAGGCTCAAAAATGAGCAGGATTGCTACTGATGCCAGTTACATCACCCTTGAGAGGTGTTCCAGGGTTAGAGTGCCATCATGGAGAAGTCCATCTCATTTATAAATGTATAAAGTATTGTGCTGTTGGTACTTGGAGAAAGTCTTAACCAATGGATGGAATAATGGAAGGCTTGCTCTTTTATATATTTTAATTTCAATCCATTAATTTGGACTTGGAAATTAAATAGGAAACTAATAAAATTCCTTCAGCCTTGGTGTAGATCAGCCTTTCCTACCCTGGTGTCCTCCAGGTATGTTTGGACTACAATTCCCAGAATTTCCCAGGTTGGAGAAAGCATCTCAAGCCTTTTACAGCTGAAGTTTTAGTAGCAAAATTCTGCAGGAGCTCAAGTTAATGAATTGATTTCAAGGGCAGCTAACATACAGCAAATCAATGGGTGTTAAGGACATTTGTTGAGTTAATATTTAAAAAAATATCTGCAAATATAAAAGTCAGTTTTTTTGGAGGGGGGAACTATCTTGTTTCTGTGCTAACAAACATTTCAAGTCAGTGTTCACAATTTATTTCTTTTTCATACAAATACTGCCACAAGATACCCTTCCTGTTTTGGTGCTGTGTAGTTTACTCATCCCCATCGCATCACTTTGGCTGTACTAGCTGGGGTGATGTGAATTGTAGCTAGACATACAGTGGGGCAAAAAAGTATTTAGTCAGCCACCAATTGTGCAAGTTCTCCCACTTAAAAAGATGAGAGAGGCCTGTAATTTTCATCATAGGTATACCTCAACTCACGTTGTCTGATTTTTAAAGAATTTATTTGCAAATCATGGTGGAAAATAAGTATTTGGTCAATATCAAAAGTTCATCTCAATACTTTGTTATATATCCTTTGTTGGCAATGACAGAGGTCAAACGTTTTCTGTAAGCACGTTGTCTGATTTTTAAAGAATTTATTTGCAAATCATGGTGGAAAATAAGTATTTGGTCAATATCAAAAGTTCATCTCAATACTTTGTTATATATCCTTTGTTGGCAATGACAGAGGTCAAACGTTTTCTGTAAGCACGTTGTCTGATTTTTAAAGAATTTATTTGCAAATCATGGTGGAAAATAAGTATTTGGTCAATATCAAAAGTTCATCTCAATACTTTGTTATATATCCTTTGTTGGCAATGACAGAGGTCAAACGTTTTCTGTAAGCACGTTGTCTGATTTTTAAAGAATTTATTTGCAAATCATGGTGGAAAATAAGTATTTGGTCAATATCAAAAGTTCATCTCAATACTTTGTTATATATCCTTTGTTGGCAATGACAGAGGTCAAACGTTTTCTGTAAGACAATTTTGTTTCGGGTGTCCTTCGACAGCTCCTTGGTCTTGGCCATAGTGGAGTTTGGAGTGTGACTGTTTGAGGTTGTGGACAGGTGTCTTTTATACGGTCTTTGACCT